CCAAACAACAGGAAATTGAACTATACTGAAGTCCGACAACAAGCCAGACTGTTAAGAGGGGCAGAGCCAGCAGCAGAGCGGGGTCCGGCAGGAAAGATCCACCTGACCAACCCAGGTACTTGACCCAGGTGCGCAGGCAGCCAAGGACAAATCCCAGGTGCGGAGTAGCAACAGCTGGACCCACTAAGGGCGAAAGGCGGCGGGCTGATCTCTGTCACACATTTGCACGCAGATAAACCAGCAAAGGAGCAAGCAGTGAGACAGACTGGGCAGACCCGAGTGGCAGGAAGGAGCAGAGGGGACCGCCATTGTCCCTCTCTGACCCCGCCCCCACATACAGCATCACAAACTAGCTACCTGGGTGGCCCCGCCCTGGTGAACAACTAAGGCTCTGCCCCTCATCGTAATAGGCGAGAACAGATCAAAACATGGCTCAAGAAGAACTCAGGGCCCCAGAGCCCATAAATCTAAGCGAACAAGAAATTGCCAACCTATAAGAGGCATAGTTCAAAACACTGGTGATCAGGATGCTCACAGAACTGGTTGATTTTAGCCACAAATTAGAGGAACATTAGAGTTTAGAGGCTAAACTAAGTGAAATGAAGGGAAATGCACAGGAAACCAAAAGTGATGGAAAGGAAAGTGGGACTCAAATCAAGGGAGTGGACCAGAAGGAAGAAAAAAATGACCAAACAGAAAAATATGAAGAAACAAGAACTCAAAAAAATGAGGAGAGGCTTAGGAACCTTCAGGACATCTTTAAACATTCCAACATCTGAATTATAGGGATACTAGAAGGGGAAGAGGAACAGCCACGAGTGGAAAACTTACTTGAACAAATAATTAAGGAGAACTTCCCCGATATGGCAAAGGCAATAGACTTCCAGGAAATCCAGGAAGCTCAGAGAGTACCAAAGAAGTTGGACCCAAGAAGGAACACACCAAGGCACATCATCATTACATTAGCCAAGATTAAAATGAAGGAGAGAATCCTAGAAGCAGCAAGAGATAAGGGACAATCACCTACAAAGGAGTTCCCATCAGACTGTCAGCTGATTTCTCAAAAGAGACCTTACAGGCAAGAAGGGGCTGGAAAGAAGTATTCCAAGTCATGAAATCCAAAGACCTACAATCAAGATTGCTCTATCCAGCAAAGCTTTCATTTAGAATGGAAGGGCAGATAAAGTACTTTCAGATAAGGTCAAGTTAAAGGAGTTCATCATCACCAAACCCTTATTATATGAAATGTTAAAGGGACTTATCTAGAAAAAGAAGATAAAAAATAGAAACAGTGAAAGGACAGCAAATTCACAGTAATTAACAATGACACCTAAAACAAAAGCAAACTAAGAGGACAGCTAGATCAGGAGCAGAACCATAGAAATGAAGATCACATGGAGGGGTGGCATCAGGGGAGTGGGAGGAGGAGAAAGAAGGAGAAGGAATGGAAAATAAGTAGCATAGACAGTAGACAGAAAATAGATAGGGGGGAGGGTAAGAATAGTAGGGGAAATATAGAATCTAAAGGACTTGAGACACGTGGTCATAAACTAAAGGGGGGAAATGGTGGGGGAATGGGTGGAGGGGAATGAAGGGGGAAATAGAACAACTAATGGCATAATCAATAAAATATATATATATATATAAAAACTGGTGAAAGCTGAAAAAAAGAGATATATAATGAAGTATTTGGGGATAAAAGTCAGGTTGTCAATAACTTAAAACACTTCAGAAAGCAAAATAGAGGAAGCACATATACCCAAATATTAACAACACATTAAACTATATTAGCTAATATTGAAGTGTTAACAATATTATTCAAAGAATAATTCCTTGTTTGAAAAACTATGAGTTTAAAATCCAAAAGAATAGTTGCAAAAATGACCTAAATTTAGGGAAGAAGGGCTTTGTGAAGTAGGAGGTGGGGTTGGAGCGAGGGAAGATGAACAGTTCTTAGCTATTAATTGGAATTACTTATAATTAATAAAGTTTACTGAAAATTGGATAAAATCTAATAAGCCCCATAAAGGTGGGAACCAAGTCTCTTGCTCAAGACTGCATCCTCAGCACCTAGTATAATCAACATTCCCAGAAAATGTTCAATAAATACTTGAATTAATAAATGAGGAATCACCACCTCTCCCTCATAAATGACCAACTATTTTCATTTACACTCTGACTGCCTCTAAATGGTTTTGAAGAGGCTTATATTAATAACCAGATAAAAATTTTAAATTACGAAAACCACCAAAAGGAAAAAGCTAAACTAGGTTCCTATAGTTAGATACTGCAACTGAATGTTAAATTTCTGTCGGAGCTCCCTAGAAACCAATATAAAAAATCTTTCCATTATTAAATAAAAGGTAAATAAATACTTCCTGACAAAAAAGCTTTTGCTCTTGCTGAACTGTATCTGACTTCATGGATTCTTATTGAGGGACACACAGGGTATCACGGCAGAGAACGTCTCCGACATTTCAGTTATATAAAAACCCAATCACCTTAAATTTGGAGATATTAAGAAAGTAACAGTCTCCTTTCTTGATTTTTGTCAACGTGAAGATAGCCTTAAATCACCAAAGCCAGAATCTAGATATCCAGATAAAAAGTATAATATTTATTCTACACCAGCTCTGGCTGGTGTGGCTTGGTGGATCGAGCATGGGCCTGTGAAGTAAAGGGTTGCCGGTTCGATTCCCAGTCAGGGCACATACCTGGGTTACAGACCAGGTCCACAGTAGGGGATACATGAGAGGCAACCACACACTGATGTTTCTCTCCCACCCCTTCTCCTTCCCTTCCCCTCTCTCTAAAAATAAATAAAATATTTTTTAAAGTATAATATTTATTCCAATGAGCCACTGCCTTAATTCTCATTCTCAATCTGTGGGGGGAGGGACAGGGATAATTTTACTCCAGGTCCTACATGAGAATAAGAAAGCATGAGAGTGTGGGGGCTTCCGTCCGGGCCTCTTTCCCTGTTGCCCCCACACACTCTCACAGACGTTCTTTCAGACTTGGGGCCCAGGGCCACTTTTCACTTTGCTCTGTGCCTTCGAGAGTAATCCACCCTCACCTCTTCAACCACAGTCTCCAAGAGGAAGATTCCCAAGCCTGTATATCCAATTCTGACAACTTCCTGAGGCCATGTTATACGACTGGTTAAGCATTATTTTTACTTAGAAATTCTCATCATCCTTTAAAATATATCAATACATGTGAAAGCAATTCCCCTTTCTAAAATCAGTTACTGCCAATGACACAATTCTCCGGCTCTCAAATTAAAAATCTTGGAATTACCTTTGATTTCTCCCTGTTTGTATCCCTCTCATGTCTAAGTCATCCCCAAATCCTGTCATTTCTCTCACAGTCTTTCCAGCCCCTCCCACTGCCATTCTTCCTCCCCTTCCCACTGCCTGAGCCCTTAGGACTTCATTTCCGGGCTGTCACAGTAGCCTCTCCCCGATCCCGGCTCTCTCCGTACTTACTCTCCACTCTTGCCAAAATAATGTTTTGTTTTTATCCTATTAAAGCAATACTGAAAACTTTCCATGGTTTCCCAGTATCCTCAGGAAAAAGTCCAAACTCCTCAGGATGATTTCCAAGCCCTGGAAACCTCTCCCCAGGGCACCTGTCCCTGCAAGCGCACACATCCCCACTCTGCAGTCCTCTGCCCAGGCCGACCTCTATTCTCACAGTGGTGCCCTATCTGACTGTATTTCTTCTCCTAGTGAAATCATAGTTACAGTTCAAAATTGTACTTACTTTAGTTTTAGCTCTTCTGCAAAGTTTTCTACTCTCAGTCTAGCCCGTACTGGTAAGTCCCTTTATTCAAGAAACATTTTTAAAGTCTATGATAGACAAGGCAGTGTAGGAATACAGATAACATCACTATTCTGGACTCCCTACCAACACTATTACTGAGCACTTAAACTGTGCCTGACGAGCTGCTAAACACTTTATGCTACCTAATTTGATCTTCACAAAAAATCTGTGAAGTACAACAGTGTCACTTCACAGGTAAAGGAAATGAGACTCAGAGAGGTTAGACAACTTTCCTGGGGCCATAGAGTGATGGGGCTGCCACCTTACATCATGCAGGTTGTGAACTGCACAAGCTGTGTGTTTATCCACAGATTAAGGTGGTGGGTGACAACCCAAGGTAGTGTGATTCCCAAGACCGGGTGCTCTTAACTTTCGTATTATATTGTCTCCCATTGATCTACCTGGCAAGGAAATTACAATCTGAATTCCAGTTGCTATCGCAACCATACTTTTTCAAAGCAGCAATATGTGATGCACTATTAGCAAGAGAGAAAATTGGAAATTAGGACGCCTGAAAAAGCCTGGGATATATAGATGTTATAACTATACCACTTACTAATAAAACTACTTTGGAGGCTTTTACTGTCATTTCCTGAATAACATCTAACATTCCAGAAAGCAGAGCTCATGGTGGGGACAAAGTATCTCCATAAAACCCCGCTAAGCTAAATACATACTGAGCAATGCTAGAGGCAACACCAAAAATCAGAAGAGTTGCTCTTCTTTCCCTTCTTGACTTCCCATAAGTTAAACAAGGCTTTGTGTCTCTCGGCTACCGTATTTCTCTCGTCTTCCTCTAAAGGCATTCACATTCACTTGCCATTCTCCTTGCCAAGTTTCCAGTTCCTCCTTAAACTTCCCTTCATTTGAACCAGCATGGCTTTCAACATTTTTAATGCACTTTCTCTAATAAAAGATGCTCCAGTTGACTCTGTACCAAACTTATTAATACCTCTTTTAGCATCCCTATAATTGTCTGCCCTATAATTATAAATGTTGGGTGCTCAATATGTATTCTGGGTCTACAACTAATTGTAAGGTAGTGACCCTATTTTCAGGATGTCAATATTGTACAGAAAAATAATTTTAACAACCTTAATAAGAACAGAGGAATGTTTAAAGTGCACTTATCATTCATATATGCCCTATAGTTTGTCTTATTCTATAGCACTTACATTATTATTGTGAAGATACTCAATTGCTCGAATGATCTGGAAGAGGTATTTTTTAAGTCGTTTACTCTCTAGTCCATGACAATAATGTTGTAACTCATCTAATATTGTGTGGTCAATAAATTCAAATACCAAATGAATTTTCTTTTTCTGTCTAAACACTTCAATCAGGTTGACCAAATTTTCGTGATGGAATTGCTATTGACAAAAGAAACAGAATTTAAAAAAATTATTTCATGCACAATAATTTGTATATATAACACCTATATCATATTAAAAAGTAGAAATATTCTCAGCTTTGTTTCCTCCATGCATTTTAACAGATTTCTCAACTGATTTGCTTACATTCTTATTTTAAGAAAATGTTAACTATTTCATAAATATTTATAGAACAAAGAAAAATGTATTCTCTTACTTTGTTAGCATTTGATTGCTTATTATAATAATTTGAAGTTAATGTACTATAATGCAACTTGGTATGCTGCTAAGAGATGTGTTCCTACTTTTTAGTTTGATTTATGGTTAAACTAAAAAATTTTTTAATCCTCAACCAAGGCTATGTTTATTGATTTTAAAGAGAAGGGGTGAGAGGGAGAGGGTGGGGGGAGGGAGAGAGAGAAAGAAAGAGAGAGAGAGAGAGAGAGAGAGAAACATGATCAGTTGCCTCCCATACATATCCCTGACTGGGGATCTAACCCACAACCTAGGTATGTGCCCTGAACTGAAATAAAACTCCCAACTCTTTGGTGCACAGGACAGCGGAACAAAGCTTCAAGCAATTGAGCCACCTGGCCAGGATGATTGGTGGTTAAATTTAACATCTGAAATTTAAAAGGTCCTTATGTTTTCAAACGAGCAGGGATTTCAATACTACTGAATATGTAATCTGAATTTACATGAATTAATCATTCTCTAAATTTGGTCCTAAACTCTTGAGAGTAAAACCTAAGTTCCAAGTGTAACAAAAGATATCACACTGTAACAAGAGAGTATCAAAGCATCTAAAAACTTTTCAGATATATGAACTATCAACTTATAGCTGTAAGGACTTTTCATAAACATACACTTATTTGTGGGTACATTTTTGTTCTATTCTATTAAGCATTATTCTATTCTATTATAATAAAATAATAGTCCATTATTCTATTGAATAACATGATACCTTTTTAGACTGGAATTAATCAGTTAAAATAATTTCAATATATCAAAAATGATATGTATCACCTTAGGAAACAAATGCCATTTTAACATTTTATGCTGCTTATTCTACTTTGTAACACACTGATTTAATTATAATCAGCTCTCAAATTCTTAATTTTTAAAAATCACCAAAAATATCTATTCATTTGGCTAAAAATTAAATGGCATATTTTCAATGTAGGATTCATTAAAAAACTATACTTTTATGAAAATTATTTGCCTTTATTTCCATGGGACAATATCAATTTTTCTACTTATCCGTATTAATACAAAAACCAGTCCTTAAAACATGACTAATAGAAACACATGCCAAAATGCAATGCCAGATGCCTTTCCTATTTTGGCTCCCAATTTCCCTAGGGGGCCAGATGCCAGAGTGCTGCAGTGACAACATGCTGGCAGTAGCGAAAGAAATGACTACTTTTGGACACTACAATATTAATCTTTTAACTAAGGAAAATTACCAGTTTCCTAGCCAGTGTTTATTCTAAAGGCAAAAGCAGTAAAGAGTTAGTGGGAGTTAGTAAGCATCAGGGAAGATCCACCGAGGGGTAAGGGATCAGGTACACTCTCAAATAAACAAAGAAACTCCTAGAAAGGCTCCATTACCCCTTTTCAAGTGGTTTACTCCTTTTCCCCTTCATTACTAGATAACTTTTATACAGATATTCTCACTAATCACTGTCATTTATTTAGTGAAATTCCAGAAGATAAAGATTTAGTTCAAATTCAGTCATTATGACAATCCTTTTAGACTAAAAATGTTAACTAATCTAAGACAACTCTCTTGTGGAATTAAACTAAAAACTCTACAAGAAATAAACTAATACAAATAGTTAAGGTGTCTCAAAATAGTTTGTATAATAATTATAATAGTTAAGTACATTTTCAAATTCATCTCTGTATTTTTGCTACATAATTGGCTTTTAAAAATGGCTAAATAGCCCTGACCAGTATGGCTCAGTTGGTTGAGTGTTGTCCTGACAAGAGAAGGGTTGCTGGTTTGATTCCTGGTCCTGGCACAAGCCTGAGTTGTAGGTAGGTACCCATTTGGGTCCTGTGTGAGAGGCAACCCATCCATGTTTCTCTCACACATTGATATTTCTCTCCCGCTCTCCCCCTCTGTCTATAAATAAATAAATAAATAAATAAATAAAATTTTAATGATTAAATAAAAAAATAATCAGTTTATATGCAACAGAGTTGAAGAAAAGGAAAGACATTGGCTGGGAAAAGTTCTCCTTCTAATCCGATTTTTCACTTATGGTGCATAACAGTTTGCCTTACAGTATTATTATGTTTTAGGTCATCTGGATAAGGACTGATATCTTTCACAAAATTATAACATCTTTACTGATTTTTACTTTCCTTTTCATTGCCTAGAAACACAGCAGTTCCTACAATCCACAGATGCCTAATATATTTCTTCTGTTTAGAAAGCAAATTGATCCATCATATCTAATATACTCTTACAGAGAATATTACTTTTGCATCTGATAAAAATGAGCAAGAAAAGTATCATTTTTCATTACATAAAACATCTAAAATAAAGTCAAAAGTTATAAACCTTAAAGCATCTAGATGAATTCCAATGTATAAACCACACATATATTTAAATATCTTTAAATCACTAGTTTTTAACCCAATCCCCAAGGGAAGTTAATGCTCCTTTCTTCACACTTCTGACTGAGTTCTTTCCCCAGGGTTGACCCGTCAGACCTACACAAAAATTTATTTTTTTCCCTGATCTTTCTTGATATGGTTCCCCAGCTCTTAGCAGCCCACTGGTCATCTCTATTTAAATGTACTCCTGTTACCTCAAAATCAACATTTCTAAATCTGAACTAGTTCCCAAACTATGTTTCCTTGAGGTCTTTCAAATTTCCATCAATGACAGCACTCACTGAATCTCAAAGATGCTCTTGATTTCTTCTGTTTTACTTCCTTCCACACTCTTTAGTGTCTTCTTTTGCAATATATTACATTTTACTTTCCATTCAAATTGCTGCATTCCAGCTGGGGCCCTCATATTTACATATCCTGAATTAAACTGTATTTAGTATTTACAAACTGAATTAAACTCATATAACAGGCCTCCCTATTTTTACTCTCTGAGTTCTCCAATCTATTCTAAAAAACAGTGCCAGATTTACATTTATAGAATCTCTTTACTCTGAGTTTAAAAAGTTCATCCTCTTAGAAACTCAGATTTTAATTCTTTAACCCAAAAGACAAGACTGCAAAACCTACCTCCCCAATTTACATCTCTAATCCCACCTCTTTCTACTTTGCTACAGGAAATATTACAGGGAAATGCCTCTGCTTTGTCCCTTGTCCTGCTTTAGCCTCTCTGGGCCTATGCTGTTCTGTTAACCTGTAATACAACAGTTCTCTCTCTTATGTAAATTCTACATAAAGCCAAATTCACCTCCCAGTTCTTCCAAGAAAACTTTCCTACCCAATACAGCTTTGTCTTAATCACTTGGCATTTATTATGAACCCCTTTTTATTGAATATTATTTTACATGCCCTACTGTCTTTCTGATTAAATAATGAAAGTCCTGAGAGCAGTTATTGTCTTTTACCTCATTTTAGTCTCAGCATCTGGCACAATGCCTTGCACAAAGCAGACATTTTTATCAAGCATTATACCTGGATACTTCTGAAGTATTTCACAATATTTGGCATACCTTTTGTTACATAAGCACATGTATCTTGTATCACTATAAAATTACAAAACGTAGACAATTAGGTGGAGTATCACACTTGTTTTTCTACTGCCTGTCCTAATACACGTGTTAACTGAAATATTCCTTATATAATTTTTTCCCATAACTATTTCTCTTTTCACTTACGAAGAGCAACTTAGGCAAAAGAAGCAAACCTTTAGAAACTTTATTTCTCTCATTGCAATTTTGTTGACAGATTTTTCTGGTTTCTCATAAAATATCTTAATGGCCACTATCTGCCCGGTATCCTTATGTTTACACTTCATAACTGTTCCATAACTTCCCTCTCCCACTTTTCCAAGGGTTTCATACATCTCCATTCTTAAGCCCGGCTTCTTCTTCATAGAAACAAAGAAAGGAAATGTTAAACATTTTTATTTTATTTATTCAAGCTGGATAATGCATTTCCACAATAAACCCGTACTTTCAAATATAGAAACATAGGAAAAATAGGAATCGTTTCCACAGACACCGTTTGTCTTTGGAAACTGCCAGCTCGGCAGTAAGGTGTCCTTGTGGGGCCCGGGCCCTCACCAGAACTTTGGGAGCTTCCGTAGTCTCGGTTATTATCATTAACACTAAGTTTTATGATTCCTTCACTACCTGCCAACTTCCGTCATTGGGGCGAGGATTGTTCTTCCCACTTCCTGTCATGCTCGTGTCAAATACGAGGTTCCCGCAATACTGCAGTCGCCCATAGATCAGACCCCGAGACCCAAGAAAACCTCGGTACCGCCCGCTCCTCAAACCAGATGTGTTAAGGTCCCAGACCAGTCTCGCGAGCCTCGCCGGCAGACGACCTCGTCTGGGCAGCCGCCACCACCTCAGCCCATTCTGTTGTCCGGTGCGCAGTCCCAGCCCTACTTAGTCAGCTGGCCTCGCTAGCTCCAGGCTACCCATTACCATGGTAACGGTGCCGGCCAGCCTCACGCTTGAGGCCGACTGCGCAAGACCGGAACACAGACCCGGCCTTCCTGACCTGGAAGGGAAAATGAGTAGACGTGAGGAGGAGCTCTTGGTGCACCTGAAGTGGAAGTTCGCTTGTTTTTGCGGGTAGGGATTAGTGGTTGCAAAACGCCCATACTGGGGCCTCCTCACAAACTTGGTTTGAAGCGGAGGTGGGGGAGGATTGGCGTCCTGACTGCATTGTGAAGGACTGCAAATAATCTGGGGAAGGGGAACAGCGACACAGGTTTGTCCAGCCCGACTTGCCTGTGTCCCCAAGCCAGAGGACACCTGTGGCTTGTGCTGGGTCCTAAAAGGATGGCTGGTGTCATTAAGTACGTACTACGGACTTCTAAAAGAAGACTCCCAAGCAAGCCTAGTGTAATTGTAGTCTTCCGAGTTACCTAGACTACATATAGTCATATTCCCCAGTCATGTGAGTTTGAGCTCAACAGTGCACTTTTCATTCTTAAACTGTGGAGAAGATGCTTCTTAAGTCAAGAACCTTTTTTGAACACCTGCTATATGCTTTTATTTTTTTTTCAAGCTCATAGTAATCCTTTAAAAAAAAAAAACCTTCCTCTTTGGAAAAGCAACTAATTCAGTGGGTTCTACTACACACTTATATGGACATGTAAGGGCGGGGCGGGGGAGCTGTTATCTAATCGTTTAAGAATTACACTCAGTGTTCTGCTGGCGTTCCACCCTCCAATGAATGACAAGGATATCACTTGAGCAAGTTCCTAGAGAATACCCACTTTCTTGGGGCTTTATTAACTTTTTTTGTGAGAAGTTTTAAATGTTAAAAGGCCAACTCTCACTTTCCCTAAATGAGAAAACATCATTAGTGTCTAATAAATTCTAGTCCAGTTGGTCTCACTCTAGAGTGCATATTAAAATTACATCAGGTGAGGTTTTTAAAAGGCCCTACCCCCAGAGCCCTAATTTAAATGATCAGTATTTTAAAAACTTCCCAAGTGTTTCTATGCTGTTAAAGTCTATTAAATTTGTGGATTTAAAATATTTGCAAAGGGCAAGTCATGAATCAGAGTCCCTGCCCTCTGTGACCTCACAATCTAGAGCTACAGAATTTATGTTATAAAATTACAACTTTAAAACTATCTACTAAACCATAGGCCCAAAATGGCATCACTTGTGCTAAAAACCCATGATACCAAACCTACACTTAATAGCTAATCTAATTGCTTTTTCAACCTCTCCCCAAAACAACCTAGAACAGAAAATTCCACACTGGTTACCTGGAATTTCCTGGTTTACGCCAATGAAGTAATCTTTCCCATGGGTCCTGTCCACCCTTGTAATGTAAAGAATAGACAATTTGCATGATAAAAACCCTTTTTCTTCCCCCAACCCCCAAGAAAGTTGTCCCTGCCCAAAAATAATCCTTCCAGTTCTTTTGTTAATAGCTCCCTTGTCTCCCCTTCCTACAAAACCTTTCATTTTGTAAAACTTAAAGCGTGGGGTTTGTAAAACCCCACTGTAAGGCCCATGCAGCTAAAAGAGATGCTGCCCAATTCATGAATGGCTTAATTGAAGCCAATCAGATCTTCAAATTTACTCTATTGAATTTTGTTTTTTTAACACTACAAATAGGTTATGGCAGGCCTGGTAACCACAACAGCCAATGATTCTTGCTTATTCGCTGGTGTTTTTAAGGCTTTAATAAAATTCCTTCACTGATTTTGTTAGAAGTGTTATTTCATGCTTGAAAATCATCAACTGGGTTTCCAAAACAATTATAAGTTGCTAGATAAATGACATAATGGATTTTTAAAAGTTTATCTTTAGTATGTTATTGTATGTAACCCTACCAGTGCATCTTCATCCTTAGCTATTAGGAGGTTAGGATTGCTATAGCAGGAAGTCAAAAGAGTTAAAAATATTATTCAGCTTATGATTTCAAGAATCAAATTTGTGAATGAACAGTAGGACTTATCAAGAGTTAAGCCTGGCACCCTGGCTGGTGTAGCTCAGTAGAGTGAGCATGGGCTGTGAACCAAAGGGTTGCCAGTTAAATCCCCAAAGCACATGCCTGGGTTGTGGGCTAGTTCTCCAAGAGATGTGGGAGGCGCAACCGCACATTGATATTTCTCCACCTTTCTTTCTCCTTCCCTTCCCCTCTCTCTAAAAATAAATAAATAAAATCTTAACCAAAAAAAAAAAAAAAAAAAGGGAAAAGAATTAGGTCTGGCTAACTTGATCACAAAGGCAGTTACCAAAAACAAGAGATAGAATTCTCAGTTTGAAGGAAGGGAGTGTTGAATTCTCAGTTTGAAGGAAGGGAGTGTTGATGTAAGAAACATCCAAACCTGTACAGAATTTTTTAGCTTATTTGAGCCAAAGTGATGATAGTGCTGGGAAGCAAAATCTCAACGATTAAAAAAAAATGCCCTGGAAAAATGGCAGCTCTACCATTCACTTTATACATTAGAACCAAAAGAGAAGATGTAAGGGATTACATGAAATTCACTGTTGATTAGGGAGGCAGAAGAAGGCAAAGTAGGGAAACCTCTCAGATTGGATAAAAAGTAAAAGGGAGACTCATGCTTCTTTTACATTGGTGAATATAGGATAGTTAACATTTATGGTATATTAAAGATGGTATGCAGAGAAAAAGAAAACAATGAGGGATTCAGTATTCCCATGTCCTAGGGGGAGAGTGTGCCCCAGGGTTCTGGAAAAAAGGGGATTATTCTGACATTCCAAATGTTATCATAGATGCAAAAAAGACAACAGTCAAGCCTGGGTAGGACCTACCTTCCATGATTCACTTTTAGTTTAGGAGGTTTTAATTTCAGACCATCCTAGGAGACTACTTTAGGTCTCTGAAATTGTAAGGCCCACCATGCCTCCAGTGCTCGTAAGGTTTAGTATGTGGCTCATTTTTCAACCACAGAAGATACCAGGAAAGGAGGAAACTTAATCCTTTCTGGTTCCATTTAACCATAGGCAGCTTGGGGCAAAGCTAAGGCTCATTTTACCCTCCCATTCTACTTTGGGCTGAAGATTTATCCTAATAGATATGAAATTGTACAGAGTCCTTTGCAAGACAGCTGATTTACCCCTCCACTACTCTGTGTGTGTGTGTGTGTGTGTGTGTGTGTGTGTGCGTGCACGCATTTCTGATGCAACTGCACCTAACTTGCTAGTGTCGAAGAACTGGAATGAGTTATCCAGCTTAGCTATAGAATCCTCACTCATGACTTTATGTCCTCCAGATCTGAATCTTACATCAGTTCCTTTGACAACCAACCCCCATCAATATGCTGCTCTCTGGAGATCTCATCCCCACATTTCTTGTCAAAGACAACGGTACCCCATCATAGCCAAACCCACGTATTCTGACACAAATCATCACACGGGAGCAGACCCATGGGAAAAACAAACTTTGTCATTCCTAGGCAGTGTGAACATCGCTTGGACAATCTACACCATTCTTTGATATTTGCCCAGAATTTCCAAGCCTGAAAACCCCATTGTAAGGCCCATGCAGGCTATTTGGTTCCCCTAAGGAAGCACATCAGGGGTTTTTACTTCATAGGGGCCTCAGCATTAAACACCTCACTCGAAAAAGTGGAGTTCTCATCACTTTTTCTTCCCTATGACCAGATTTGATAGGGCCTTGAACCAATCAGAGGGGAGTTTAAATCCAAATTATTTTCAGCTCTGTTTTAAAGACTTAAGCAAAACCAACTTTGCTTTCTATGACCTCTTCCACTTCTATTGCCCTTCCTGTTCCTGGCACCAAATGCTTCGAAAACTAATAAGGGTGTTGGCCCGTCCTCAGTCTAGTCTACCTAACTATCAGTTTCATCTACCTGGTTGGGACTCAGATCCAGCGGACGCTCTCACCGGACCAGTTCTAATCGCGTCACAGAGGCACGTGGTTCTAGATACTTCGCCACCTCCCCCTCAAGGGTGGATTGTTGACAACGCCGCCAGCGGTCACGTGGTCTTACGTCATCCCACCGCCTTTCCCTGAAATCACTGGCCCCACTTGCGTCCTTCTTTTCCCCACTCGGTTGGACCTAAGTAAGTGAAAGGGGGAGAGACAGGATGATGTTTCGGTTTCGGTGTCTCTTAATCCACAATGTCTAGTCTGAACACAGAGAATACTAATTTTTCAATTACTTGAGGAAGATAAAAAAGATAAGGCCTAGCTGCAAGGCCCCCATAGGAGCTCTCATACGTTCCTTCCCATCTTTCTCCCCCTTCACTGTGTGGTACTGGCGGAGGGCGGAGGGATCTGGAGGCGGCGGAGGGAGACGTCATTGCAGTGTTGTTTGTGCAGCCTCGGTGGCGGTGACCCGCAGTGATTCGGCCGCTGCGCCGGGGGGTGGGGGGGCTGCGCGGGACTCTTTTCTTTCAGACGGACCGCGGGGCAGTTGTGGAGCATGTCGACCCCCGCCCGGAGGAGGCTTATGCGGGATTTCAAGCGGTAAGGCCCTTCCCCTTCGCTTGGGGTGACGGTTGCTCCCCAGAGCTACGGGCCTACAGGGCGGGGATCCCGGACACCTTCCCCTAGCGATCCTCCAGGCCGGCCGTGGGCCCCGAGGGAGCGGCCGGAGGCCAGTTCTAACGCCCGTTCGCACTCCCCCATCCTTTTTGCTCACTCCTCTGACAGAAGGGATTTCAATATGCATCCACCTCAGAAGTGAAAAGACGGCTATGGGCTCCAAGGACTCCCCGCTGCCCACCTGGGCCAGCTGCCTGAGGGTCGAACCTTGCCCCCCAAACCCCTGACCCTCACCCTGCGGTGCCCCCTCCCTGAACCCGCAAGGCGAACGCTGGCAGCAGCGCGTTCCTCGCTCGTTACGCCAATCAGCTTTGTTCTCCTGCCCTGCTGTCTGCTCGGAGGGGGAGCGTCGGGGCGAACGCCCCCCCCCCCCGTAGTGAGGGAGGGTGGGGTCTGCAGCGCGAGGCCCGGAGGTGGTTAACCCGGCCCCCGAAAC